ACGACACGACATTTATATATGTATACTGTAAATATAATTTATACGTACTATATAATAAATATAAAAAATAAAACATACACACATACATCCATAAATATATGCCTGCGATGATGAAGACACGAGTGGTTATGCTGATGACTGTCAAAAAGTCTCCAAAGACCTTGCGTACTCTGATCTTAAAGGTTGTTACCTATGTACTCTTAGTAACATATTAATTGTCCACTTTTTACCAAAGGATTTGAGACCACAGTCTGGCTAGTGTGGGGTAGAATGTTAACGAACAAAAGTTTATTTGCTCAAGAGTTATAATTGTCACGAACAAGGGTTCTGAACGCGAAAACGGGGAACGCAGGTCATCAGTGAATCTTTAGGCATCTTCTGCTTCTCGGCTTCTTCCAAGTTAAGATTTAGGCATGTGTCTAGCAGTAGACGTCCTATGATGAAGTAATCAGTTGAATTGTCAAAATAGTTCCATAGCTCAACATAGGATGACACATACCTAGTATGACATCATTAATTGGTGTATTCATTGAAATTATCACACACTAGATGCCACAGTATATGGTAATATAGCCAATATGGTACACCTCCACGTAAATATAAAAAATCTTACAAAATATTTAAGTTCCAGGGCTCATCTTGTTTTACTCTGTTTTCAAGGAAACGTCATCAATTTATTACTGCCCTGAATTGTACTGTACTGTACGTTGGTTCATTGATTCTAAGCTTTATTTTATCTGAACCTCTACAGATAGTAGACGGACAACACGTGCATTTTGAATAGTGTGTTATACCTATAGTCTGTTTTTAATCTCGTAGACTAAATTGCAAATGTCAAATTTACAAATAATGTTGCCAGCTCTTTTGTGCAGTGTTGTACCTACGATACCGGTTAGTTGAATCGTAAAATTTTTATTTATAATAGACGAATTTAATTTTCAATCAAAGTTTTACATTTAAAATTCACAGTACGTACACACGGCTGCACGACGTGCTACAAACTGCCAGGGAAATCTGACCACGCAACGCCATGCGTAATCCGACCATGTTTCGATGCCTTTAGATTAAACAAAAAAAAAATTATAGACGCCATCAGTGTTGTTCCCGTACGCGTTAAAACGGCAATCTTAACCCTTTTCTCTTACGAAACGGCAGAACTTAAAAAATACGGCAATTATGGAACTTGACACCATACGAACAATTGTACGAATACGTAATTCGAACGATTGAGTTGGTCTGGGCTCAAGTAAAGGGGCATGGTCACTAAAAATAATAAAAACATTCAAAATGAATGAAGTACGAAGCCTTTTTGAAGACTGTGTAGTCCATATAATTAAAATTGAAGATCAAATGTGTCATCTGGGCCATATAACCGACGACATTACTGATAGGTTTATCATAGAAGTAGGTGGCGATTCTGATGACTCATAATATATATACCTCAGACATGGAGTCATTATCTGAATCAGATTAACGCGAATACCTGTAATTAAGTTATTTAATTAAAAATATATGTTTTACATTATTAATTTTGTATTATTACGTTTTAAATAAGTACCTACACATTATTTCAGGATAAACACATTATTTCAGGATAACTTATTGTAAAAAAAACGACACTTGATTTTATTAACGCTAAGTTTCGGTTGTGCCACATCACTATTTAAGAATTGCAATAAACTGACAACACTCGTAATGTCAGTTTAGTGTACGAGATTAAAAAACAGACTATAATGGTATTAAACGGTGATTCAGTCACTAATGTCTTCTAGCGTCTCTCTCCATACGATACTATGTTTTGTACATATTTTGTTCTCTCGTTCGTCTCGTTTACCTAATCCGGTAGCAAAATATTTCACATAAAAAAAAACATCACGATTAAAGGGAGCAAAAGTATTACGAGTAGTCATGACCCTTGGCATTTATCTGTATCGAAATTATTTGCTAGCTTTTATACTTCGCTAGCGGTGTCATGATTAATACTACGTAGAACAATAGTATGCTCAATGTTACTATTATGTACAAGTCTGCTTAAATTCAAATTTTATTTTATTAGTTTAAAGATGTACATTTTGCTTTATAATATACATCTACGACACTCTAATTCAAAGCTTCAAGAAAAGAGCGTACTCCTTTCTCAAAGGCTGGTAACGCGTTGGTGACTCCTGAGTTGCAGGCGTTCATGGGCGGCGGTAGTCGCTTTCCATCAGGTGACCCGTCATCTCGTTTGCCCCCTAATTCCATTAAATTAAATAAATAAATAAATAACTCCGTCAAAAAATCCACTACGTTTACCTAATGGCGGTCTCCACTCTGACACATGTTGGCTCCAGCGACCATCGGTCCGACTGTAGACATGACATTACAAAACGTATAAAAAGTGGATTTAAAGTAGCTGTGTTTACTATAGTTTAATATCTATGTATCATCAAGATATTTTGTTTAAAATATTTGTAATTGTCTGGTTTTACGAAAACCAGTTCTTCTTGTTTTTAATGAGGTGAGAAATTCTATTACCGCTCAACTCTTCAAAGGCATTTTGTACTGCCCTCTCGGGAATTGAATTTTTTACCCACTTAAAAGTTGTCTAAATTTTGGAAAAAAGTCATAGTCGGTAGGTGCAGCTAAAGAGTTTGTTGCCGCCCGTCCAGCAGATTTTTACAAGAAGGGCATCAATAAACTGCCAATGCGTTGGCAAAGATGCGTCGATTGCATGGGTGATTACTTCGAATAACAGAAATAAAAAAGTTTGACAAAATAAGTACTTTCACTTATCTGCATACAAAACGGCAATTTCATAGGTAAAGACCTAATAATATACATCTGCGACACTATAATTCAAAGACACCGGAGGTATGCTGTTATTAATTAACATGTGTCTTGTAATGTCCGCGTGGTTGCGCGCGTGTGCTTGCAATATTTCTAAATGGATTTTCCCTAAGAAGATTAATCGCCGATATAGAGTAGATGTAATGGACTTCCTTCTTTAAAACTTCCGTGACTTCCACCGGTTTATCTTATTCTCCTCCACAGTGTTATTAGCTGACACACTATCTCGAGTGACATATCTAATCCAAAGCCACAAATGCCCGAACATGGTATGGTATTTTTACTTTTTTTTTTAAATATTTTACTTGTACCTGTTTCATTTTTTTTTATTTAGATCCTATAAGATATTGTCAATTTTGATGCATAAAGGGAAAATTTTGCTTTGCGGCTAAATGGACAATTTTTGGGGAATGATTTGTAAATAAATTGGGGCATCGAATCCCCCATTGGTGCGGCTGTTACTTGTATTTCCTAACCCTTATGGCTAAAGATCGTCGTGTAACAAAAGATAACAAACCTATTCGATATTTTCTATAAGTAGTCGAGCGACTTTAAATGTTTTGTATTGAGAGACGCGTGCTAAACGGGCAGCAAGGGATGAGAACTATGGAAGGTACACTTTTTACACGCTTTTTTATTTGCTTCACCTTTTTGTTTGTGATTTTTCTGACTTTGGGAAACG